ATGCTGAGGCAGGAGAAGAAGGGTGGATACACTGTGAGCCTGGGACAAGAGCAGTGGACCCCTCTTGATGTTATTAATAGAGATATGCATCTGTGAGATGCACATGCTGCTCATAGCACTTTCTCTTGGCAGTGATGCCAGTCTTTGTCCTCTGGGGGCACAAAAGTACCCAGATTCCTAGCTCCCACCTTAACTCAGCTGCAGCAGAGGTGGTGGGGGAAACTCGTCTTGATGTATGCAAGACTACTGGATTGGTAGTGGGCTGTGGCTGAGATGATCTGATCAGGAGAGGTGTGGTTGTGCCAGGGACTCACCTCCAGGAAGGGTAGCCTGCTGCTCCCAGAAGAGACAGACAGCTCAGGGAGAGGACTGCTAGCCCTGCCCTCCCTCAAAAGAGGCAGTAGCTTTAGTCCTTGTGGAACACAAAAGCATTCACTATGGCTTTTTTTGAGGGAAGGGCATGTGCACCAAGCACCATGACATCCTGGGTGTGATAGGTGCTCTGTCAGAGGCAGGGAAGCCAGTCCCATGTGCCCTAGCTTAATTGTCCCATGTGGAACCCTCACTGGTCTCAAGTAGAAAGCACCACAGCTGCCTCAGCAGGAGCTGGTGGGTGAGGGGAGGAGAAGAAGAAGGCCCCGAATGGTGGGGGCTTCTGGTCCCCTTTATCCTAAGGGGTGTCTTTGTTGCACCCTCCTCTCAGCTGAAAGTGACCCACCCCGAATGCCCAAGCTCTGGGAGATTCATAGATCCCCTGAGACTCACCAGTCCCTTTAGGCTACCATGGTCCAAGTGGGTGCTAGGGCAAATTGGCTCTGGATCCAGCAATGTAGAGACCCAGGGGAAGATTCCCACGTCTGGAAAGCTGTAAAAACACTGCCTGTCCACGAAGCGAGAAAAATGAGCCACATCCTCCATGCAGAACCAAGGCATGGTGAGGGTGAGTACTATTGGTGGTATACACCCACCCCACCACCCCCTGCACTAGCCTAGAACTGGTTGTCCCACAGCTCACCTGCACCAAATGCTCATGCTTGGGAGCAGAGGTGGCTGTCTGCAGCATTAGGTGATTGGAAGAGGGGAGGTGCCTGTCTCCACATGCCTTCCTGGGCTGCCCAGCTTTGAACTTCCAAATGGCACCTTGGACCTGGGACCAGAGAGGCTGGGACCTCTTCCAGGCAAACAGTGTGGGCAAGATGCTGGATGCATTGTCATCTGCTTGCATCTGAGTCACATTGCAGCTTGTAGCAGGGCAGTGGGAATTGTCCTAAGAGTATATAGGACAGCTTGGGGTCCCCTGTCCCTCCTCAGCTGGGCAGGGTTGTGTCAGCCCAAATTCAGTCTGGGGGAAGGGTGCTGCCTGGCTTCAGCTTCTTACTCTGGGTCTGTGGCCAGAGAGGGCAGGTCCCTTCTCAGGCAAGGTACACTAGCAGGTAACTGGAGGAAGTGCAGTTTGCTCAAGGCTTGGTCCCATAACTCATGGCTATAGAATGGTGGGCACCATCTCAGATGTGCTGGAAAGCCTGATTTCCCTGCCTCTCCCCAGCCAGGTGGGGGCTGTGGCCACATCAAACCCGAACTCAGCCTGAGGGTCTCCAACCAGTGTGTAACTCACAAAATGGTACCTTAGACCTGCAACTGGAAAGGCTGGGTCCCCACTCTTGCAGGCAGTATAGGAGAGCAACTGTGGAAAATGCTGTCTGCAAACATCTCAATCAAATGCAGGTCAATGGAGACCTTCCCAGGGGTGCATGGGAGCACCTGGGCAAAGTCCCTCCTCAGAGCCATGCAGTTACTGCAGGCATGGCTATGGTTCCTTGGTATTTAGGTTCTCAGAGTGGTACTCATTTCAAGCTGCTCTAGGCTCAGATGCCCAGGGGATTCTGTGAGAGTTCCCTTTCTGTAACAATGTCTCTGTGCAGTCTCCAAGCAGCTCCCTAGAACTAGATGGGTCAGAGGGTTCTGTTGTAGCCATGACTGTAAATGCTTGTCTCAGAGAGTAGAGCCCTGGGGTCACTCTGTCCCTTACTGTTTCTCCACATCCAGGACTTTCTCCCCGCTGTTAGGCAGCCCCAGGCTGAGCAAGTTGCCCTGAACCCTCTCCTTACCCACTTTTTGTGAATACCAGCATTCTCTTCTAGACAATCTCTTGAAAATGTGAGTCTGCTTCCTATTCTGGTTATCATGGAGGAGGCACATGCTACCTGTGTCTAGTTAGCCATCATTCTCTCATTCCTACATTTCTTATCAGGCTTGATATTATCTTGCTAAAGTCCATGTAAAAATCCTCTGGCAGGTCTTGATCAAGGAAGGGCTAAGCTACTGATGCACACAGTACAAGACTACATGCACCTTAATAGAAAGCATTTGCTACAAGGTTGAGAAAGAACAGATACTAGAAGTTGCGCAGTGCTGGGGGATTTTGGAGTCTCAACCCAGCCAGAGTGGAGCACTAACACCTCATTAATAGTTGAGACATCCAGCTTATATACCACAAAGGCCCACCTTAGAATCAAGAACTGTGCCCTAGAATAAGCTTTACAAAGCCTTATGTGACAAATGCTGAAATAAAAATGTGTTGTGTATGGCTTATATAATTCCTTCTATGGCTAGTTAGTTGAGGGTTTTTATCATGAAAGGGTACTGGATTTTGCTGAGTGTTTTTTCTGTGTTTATTGAGATGATCATGTGATCTTTGTTCTTCAGTTCATGTGATGAATCATGTTTATTGATTTGCATATGTTGAACCATCTTTGAATCCCTGGGATGAAGCCCACTTGGTCATAGTGGATGATGATGCTGATGCTGATTTTGACGTACTGTTGAATTTATTTTCTTGGTATTTTGTTGAGGATTTTTGCATCTATATTAATGAGGGATATTGGTCTATAATTTGTTCGTTGTTGTTGTGTCCTTTCCAGGCTTTGGTATCAAGGTGGTACTGGCTTCATAGAATGAGTTGGGGAGGATTCCCTCCTTCTTGATGTTATGAAATAATTTCTATAAGATGGGTACCAGCTCTTCTTTGTAGGTCTGGTATAATTCAGCTGTGAATCTATCTGGTCTGGGGCTTTTTGTTGGGAGACTTTTTATTACTGCTTTGATCTCACTGCTCATTATTGGTCTGTCCAAGGGTTTTATTTCTTCCTGATTGAGTCTTGGGAGGTTGGATGTTTCCAGGAATTTGTCCACGTCCTGTACGTTTTCTAGTTTATATGCATAGAGATTTTCATTGTATTCATGGATGTTTTGTATAGCTGTGATATCAACTGTAATATCTCCTGTTTCATTTCTGATTGCACTTATTTGGGCCCTTTCTCAACTATTCCTGGTTAATCTAGCAAGAGGTCTATCAATTTTATCTTTTCAAAGAACCAAGTTTTTGCTTTATTGATTGTTTGTATTTTCTTTCTATGCTTTGTATGGAGCCAGAGAAGACCCCATATAGCAAAAGCAATCTTAAGCAAAAAGAACAAATTGGGAGGCATCAATTTACCAGACTTCAAGCTATACTACAAGGCTATAGTAATTTAAAACACCATGGTACTGGCTCAAGAACAGAGACATAGACCAATGGAAGAGAACTGAGAACTCGGATATAAAACCATCCTCATACAGCTATCTAATCTTTGACAAAGCAGACAAAAATATACCCTGGGGAAAATAATCCTTATTTAATCAATTGTGCTGGGAAAACTGGATAGTCACATGTAGAAGACTAAAATAGGATCTGCACCTTTCACCTCTTACAAAAATCAACTCATGGTGGATAACAGACTTAAATCTAAGGCGTGAAACTATAACAATTATAGAAGAAAATGTTGGAAAAACTCTTATAGACATTGTCCTAGGCAAGGAATTTGTGAAAAAGACCCCAAAGGCAATCATAGCAACAACAAAAATAAATAAATGGTCAGGACTGAGTTTCATGGACATAAGGAAAAAAATGAAAAAAAAAATATATAAGGAGTAATAAAAAATAATTAAAAAAAATAAATGGGACCTAATCAAATTAAAAAGCTTCTGCACAGCTGAGAAAACTGTCAAGAGAGAGACAACCTACAGAATGGGAAATAATATTCGCATGTTACACATCCGATAAAGAGCCGATAACTAGAATCTACATAGAACTCAGGAAAATCAGCAAGGAAAAATCAAATAACCCTATCAAAAAGTGGGCAAAGGACATGACCAGAACCTTTTCAAAAGAAGATAGACTAATGGCCAACAAATATACGAAAAAATGCTCAACATCTCTAAATCATCAGGGAAATGCAAATCAAAGGCACAATGAGATATCACTTATCTCCAGTGAGAATGGCCTTTATCAAAAAGTCCCAAAACAATAAATGTTGGCATGGATGCGGAGAGATAGAAACACTCGTACGCTGCTGGTTGGGACTGCAAACTAGTTCAACCTCTATGGAAAGTAATATGGAGATACCTCAAAGAGCTACAAGTAGAACTACTATTTGACCCAGCAATCCCACTACTCGGCATTACCTAAAGAACAAAAGACATTCTATGAAAAGGACATCTGCACTCGCATAACAGCACAATTCACAATTGTAAAGATATAGAAACAACCCAAGTACCCTTTAATCCATGAGTGGATTAATAAAATGAACTGGAGTCCATTCTACTAAGTGAAGTATCACTAGAATGGAAAAACAACCACCACGTGTACTCACCTTCAAATTGGTATTAACTAATGAACAGTTAAGTGCATATACAGTGATAACATTCATCAGGTGTTGGGCAGATGGGAGGGGGAAGAGAGGATGGGTACATACATACCTAATGGGTGTGGTGCGCACCCGCTGGGGGATGGACATGCTTGAAGCTATGATTCTGGTGGGGCAAAGGCAATATACGTAACCATCTGTACCCCCGTAATATACCGAAATAAAAATAATCAAAAAAAAGAAAAAAAGGATTGTCTTCCTCCCAGGTGCACCCATATTGTTTCTCAAAACTCAACAGAGTAGTAAAAGAGGCAGTGAAATACAAAGTTTTTATTGAAAGCACTTTAAATATGTAAACTTGGCTTGAAAGGTAATTACCACTTTTTAAATTACACTAATTCAAATGCAAAAACATATAATACATCTATAATTAAGTCTTTCCCCATGAAGACAGAGTTATTGAGAAATGTTTATTTTCCCTCTTAAAATGGCGAACCCAGGTAATAATATGGCTACAGGTGGTAAATTCCTATTGCTTCCTTCATTGCTTCTCTCTCTAAAACCCACAAATATTTCAGAACCACATTACTAAGGTGCTGGCCTGTACTTGGAAACAGAATAATATTCAGGTCTTACACGTCCAGGGCACAGTGGACAGACAGGCTCTTGTCCTACACACTGGCCACCATGTCTTCAATGGCATTCCAGTCAAGCTTGCTAAGGATGCTGCCAGTGCTCTCAGAAATGCTGTCCATGCCACCCACCACAAAAGAAGGTTCTGGTTCTTCCTCTTCAGTTTGTGACAAGTCCTACCAAATTAAAAAGATAGTAAGGACATAAACAGAAACTTTTCAAAAGAAGACACTATAATGGCCAGCAAACATAAAAACATGTTTAACATCTCTAATCATTAGGGACATGCAAATCAAAACCACAATGAGATATCACCAGTGAGAATGGCCTTTATCAAAAAGTCCCAAAACAACAAATGCTGCGGGGATGTGGAGAGATAGGAACACTCTGACACTGCTGGTGGGACTGCGAATTAGTACAACTTCTGTGGAAAATAATTTGGAGATACCTCAATGAGCTAAAAATAGAAGTACCATTTGATCCAGCAATAGTACTATGAGGCATCTACCCAAAGGAACATCTGCACTCAAATGTTTATGGCAGCACAACTCACTATTGCAAGGATGTGGAAACAACCCAAGTGCCCTTCAATCCATGAGTAGATTAATAAAATATGGTATATGTATACAATGGAATACTACTCAATTACAAAAAACAACGGTGATCTAGCACCTCTTATATTATCCTGGATAGAGCTTGAGCCCATCCTCTGAAGTGAGGTATCACAAGAATGGAAGAATAAGCACCACATGTACTTGCCATCAATTGGCACTAACCGATCAACACTAAGGTGCTCACGTGGTAGTAATATTCATTGGGGGTTGGGAGGGTAGGGGTGCGTAAACTCACAACCAATGGCTGTGGTGAGTATTGTATGGGAGAAAGGCATGCCTCGCATTCTGGCTTGGGTGAGGCAAAGTCATAACGTAACCAAAATGTTTGTACCCCCATAATATCCTGAAATAGGAATAATAATACTAATAAAAAAAAGATAATTGTGGTCCTAGCCCCTATGAAGAAAACAACTGGAACATGAACTAAGCTTTCCAAAGGTCCCAGAGTTGCCCATACATCAAAGGGCTAAAGGTTATGTGAAGGGATCCAGGGCTGTGGTTGCCAGGTACATCTGGATTGACAATGAGCTGAACATCACCTGATAAACAGGATGCTGGCACCATAACTAAGGAGTGGACACAATGGATTTTAATACTTACAGTACAATGAACTGTTCTTATGTTTTTGTTGTTATTTTAGTTAAAAAGAAAATATAAATTCAAGGAGAATTCTGAAAGATAAATGTTGGATAACTTAGCATAAAGGGTAGATGCTTTGAATCTCTATTTCAAACTGACCTAACAATCTTTCAGTATTTCTACATACCCAAAGAAACAAACAAAAGACACTGAAGAACACAGAGCAATCACTAGATAAACTAAAATCTGGAACAGTCCTTACCTGTAGAAGGGAATTGTGACTGTCATGAAGGATTGTACAAATTTCTGAGGGTAATATCCAGGGACTCACCACAGTCTCCTCTCTCTCGTACTCTGTACACGCAGGCTTGGTGTGAGGTATAAGCCCAGCACATCCATGTTTTTTTGTATGCTGCCAACTTCGACATGGAGCATTAGAGCCTGTTAAGGGATAAGAACAAAGCACACATTAGGACTGACTCATTCATCCATTTGTTAATTTACTGTGACTTTTGTCATCAAAGCCAAGGCAATCACATTTTACCTAATATTTAAATCATTAAGTCTGGATGTAGTTCACTTTAGGGTTCTAACAATTTCTGTTCTGTCAGTGTGTGAGGTGGAAATTGAATCTGGCCTTCTTTGAATTTGAAAAGTAATGGTAATTAATCTCTAGGACAAGACTCTAGGGAGGAGAGGCCACAGATATAACAGGATTGTGGAGAAGTCTTGACTTCAAAGATGGGTGAACTCAGAGAGCTAGGTTTTTCTTGCCTTTTATGGAAAATTTTGTGGAAACTTACTAGGAGCAATGTTTTAGGCATCTTCACCTAGGCATCATGCCTATAATCTGCCTTTTTTTTTTTTTTTTTTTTTTAGACAGAGTCTCACTTTTGTTGCCCAGGCTAGAGTGTTTGAGAAGCCAGGAGTGCTAGCCAGACAATCCTCCTGCCTCAGCCTCCCGAGTAGCTGGGACTACAGGCATGCACCACCATGCCCGGCTAATTTTTTCTATGTATATTAGTTGGCCAATTAATTTGTTTCTATTTATAGTAGAGACGGGGGTCTCACTCTTGCTCAGGCTGGCTTCGAACTCCTGACCTCGAGCAATCTGCCCGCCTCGGCCTCCCAGAGTGCTAGGATTACAGGCGTGAGCCACTGCGCTCGGCCATACAATCTGCCTTTGGGCACAGGCGTCAGGGTAAGTGTGACAAGATGTTATCGACCTTTCTTCCTTACTGCATATATCAGTGTTTGTTGAAAACAAACTTTCATTCCAGCTAGTGTCCACAAGCAGCTTAGCAAATCTTTTAACCAATAAGGCTTCTCTACACAAGGCTGTAAGAGGAACGTCCCCTATCTAACACACTTAAATGTTCCAAAGTCAATGCTATAGTATGTTCTACCCCTCACCAAGGTAACCTCCAGAAGAAAGACCCAAGACATGGGGTAAGATGGAAGTAAATACAGGTCCCGATAAGCAGTCATGTGGCTCCCTGAAGAAGGGAAAAAGGTAAAAGTGCAGAACTTTGGGCTCACTAGGCATATTATGACTCTACTAAAGTTCTGTACTTAAAGATGAGGATATCTCTAAAAAATAAACTCACTAAAACAGTAACAGCACACATTTTGGCATTTGGTATGCACTAGGTGTTTTACCTACATTTGGCCCCTTAAACTAACCTACCAGGGTGCCCCCGGGCCTTGTCTCTGGGTCCTCTAACACATCTCAACTCCTCCCAACTGACCTCGTTTAGGTCTATGGCTTTACATATCATCCGCATGTTGACAGCTCTCTCAAACCTGTACCTCCGGCTTGATAGAGCTAACTGCCTTTTTGACACCTTTATTTGGATGTACAATAAACATCTGAACTTTAACCTGTGCAAAACCAAACTGTTAATTTTTGCCCCTAAACTTCCTCATCCCAGGAAATTTCCAGGTAAAATCCACTTGTTCTTCATTCTTCTTTCTTATATATACTACACCCAATCCATCAACAAGTCCTAATTTGGTCTATCTTCAAAATATATGCCGCCCCCCCAAAAAAAATAAATAAAAATTTAAAAAAATACATTAAAAATAAATTAAAAAAGCAAAACATATCCCAAATCTAATGATTTACATTTCCAGTGTTACAAGCCAATACCAAGCAGTCCCTCTCTTCTTATCTGCCTTCTTCTATTCTTTTCCCCCCATATATTCTAAAATATAAATTATGTTGTCTTCCTGCTAAATTTCCTCGAATGGAATCTTAGTGGATCCAGAGTAAAATCCAACTCCTTGCCTTAGCCTACAGTATCTAGCCCTATCTCTGGGCCACTTTTCTACACTGATCTTTTCTGTCATACCAAGTTTGTTTTGTGTATCAGGACTTTGACTGACTATTCCTTCTGCCTGGAACTGCTGTCATACTTTTACATAACCATCTCCTTTCATCATTCAAGATCTTCACTCCAGCATCACCTTCTCAAAGAGACCTTTAACCACTCTTGCTAAAGTAGCTCCACCTAACCAGCCACACTCTCCCTTATTTATGTGCTGCTGTCTGTGTTGTTCATGACTGGTATGTAGTAGGAGCTCAATGGATGGTTGCTGAATTAATACTCTTCATGACAATCATGTGGGGAAAAGTGTTATTGTCCCCATTTTAAAAACAAGGAAAGTGAGGCTTAGAGAGGCTATGTAATTTGCCCAAGATGGTGGAGATGATCTACCCCTAGAACCTGAACTAATGTGTTAACTTTCTACTCTTTAGGGTGAAAGGAGAATAGTACTCAGAGTAGCCCTTAAGATACTCTTCATATCTGTAAGTAAAAGAGGAATGGATCTATTTAATTGGATCCTCAAGGCAGCAGCTTTCTAAAAGCTTCTTCCTGGATTAGTGCCAAAAGGGGGTGGGACACAGCAGTACAAGAGGGCTTAGGGATTTTTCTTTTGACTAGCCCCAAGAGTCTGAAAGAGAACAAAGTTAACATCGTGTGGTAGCATCTGACACCTTAACATCCAATTGAGAACTGTGCTCTAGTTGAAAAAGGTTTGACTTTTTTCCTGCCACTTAAAGACATCATTGAGTATCTTTAGATGCCACTGACATGGAACTGAAAGTTCCATGTTAAAATAATTTCAATAAATATTAATAAGAAACAAAGTTTTAAAAGTTTTTTGAAAAAAAATCTAGGAGCAGACAACAGGAATGTACATATGAACACACACTGTGGAAGAAAAGTTAAGTAGTGGATAAAACACAGAAAAAATGAGACTGAAAGAGAAACCAAAAAGTGGATAAGCAATATAAACACAAGAGTAGCTTCCTAGTTGGCAGCACCGTGCTGAAGTTGTTCCTTCTAGTATTCAGGCTATAACAAGAGATTAGCAAATACCAACTAATCCTACTTCATCTCTACTACAATTAATTTGGTAGCTAAGCTTTAGCACTCTTATTTTGTCAAATGAGGATAATTATTGCCATCTAGAAAGAATGACAAAATCAACCCACCACCAAATCTGCTGAAATTAAGGTTAACAGTCCTACATTTTAGGATAAACCTTCCCCTGTGGGGTATCTACAAATCTTGAGAGGTTATCACTGGCTTTCTTTCATCTTGCTTTACCCAGGGATGGCTGTGTAATTTCCTTCTCTTCAGATCATAATGCATTTCTCTAGGATTTATTTGGGATATCTAATCTTGAGATAAAAATACGATATGAGAAAAATTCTATGCAACTGAGCATATGTAAAGCCTTTTAAAGGTAGGGTATTCCTGCCCCAGTGTGGATGATAATAGCTTTCTCAGGTGAAAGAAAGATGAGTGATGTATCAGGAAGAAACACCACACTAGAAACTGAGCTGGCAAGTACAGTGGCTTCCCTCAGAGAGGAAGTGCTCTTTTTCTGTAGGGCAGCAGTTACTGCCCCTCAGTTTCTTCACAACATATTGCCAAACAATCTACATAGTCTAGCCTGAGAAATTTGAAACTGAATAAAACTAAACCCATTACCTCCCCCACCCCAAAAAGGAAACCCTGCTCCTCCTCTTGCCCTACTTGTGGCAATTAGGGGGCCACAGTCTAGCTAAGTATTTAAGCTAGAAACCTAGAGCCATATACAATTTCTTGGACAATAACTGAGGGCTTTCTTGGAGAAAGCCTCATGTTAGATCATAATCCACTTGAAAAAAACAAAATCCTGGATCTCTAGAGCTTTCAAAAATAATAATATAAATGTATATATAATTTCAACTGTTTTGGAGGGCAGCATTGTATTTTGGAGCATTTTATCTGTTGAATTAGATACTGCTAGATATTTGCTTAGAAAAGAATAAAAAAGCTATTTAGCACTCTAAACTAGAAAATAGTTTACAGAAGATTAAAATAAGAGAGACTTTGAAAGAAGGAAAAAAAAACTAGCTTGGTATTATAAAATTAAAAGCACAGGAAATGATGCTTGTAGGATTTAAATTAATCCTAATTACTAGAAGCCTGAGTTTTAATTCATACATGGAGGAAAGAATAGAAAAAGAACAAAATACACCTTCTAGAAAATATATCCATTGACATTAAAAACTTGATAAATGAGTTAAATAGCAGATTAGATATAGCTGAAGAGAGATGTGGTAAACTGAAAGATGGATCTTCAAAGGAGGTAGCAGTGGGGAAAGGAGTAGCAGGACTAGGCTAATTACTTCACATTTCTCATCATTTTTTTGAGACAGAGTCTCACTTTGTTGCCCAGGCTAGAGTGAGTGCCGTGGCGTCAGCCTGGCTCACAGCAACCTCAATCTCCGGGGCTCAGCGATCCTACTGCCTCAGACTCCCAAGTAGCTGGGACTACAGGCATGCACCACCATGCCCGGCTAATTTTTTGTATATATATATTTTTTAGTTGGTCAATTAATTTATTTCTATTTTTGGTAGAGACGGGGTCTCGCTCAGGCTGGTTTCGAACTCCTGACCTTGAGCAATCCGCCTGGCTCGGCCTCCCAAAGTGCTAGGATTACAGGCGTGAGCCACCACGCCCAGCCCTCATCATTTTAATAGTACATATAAATTAGTGCTTTCTCTTCACCATTATCCCTATCAGATTTAGTCCTTTTCTTTAAATGGTGATAACTCCACAGACCTCATTGGATATATTTGAGGATTAAGTGAGATAATGCACATAAGGTGTTAACACAATGCTTGGCATAGAGTAAGTGTTCTATAGCTGTTAGCTACTGTATTTATTGTTCTAGGGAGATCTGAGCAGGTCACTTAACTTCTCTAAGCTTCAGTTTCCTTAGCTGTGATATGGAGATAATAGCTGCCCTGCCTCCTTACCAGGGTTGTTACATACATCCTCACTATTATAATCTATTTCATAGGTGGGAACATTAAGGCTTACATAAATGGGTTAGAAATTTGCTCAAGGTTACGGAGTAATTGGTGAACTAGGATTCCAAA